TGTTCCGAAAGTGGCCGCGATTTTCCTTGGAGCGAAGTACTGTGCATGGGCGGCTTCTGTGGCAGTAGCTGTTCGTTATCAACCTTTACGCAGGGTTTTTCTTTCAAGACGAGAGGCTCTCTTCGGAAGAGCCAGCGGAGCACGGACGTTTTCAGAGAGGAAACGGCTATGGCTCGTCGAGGCGCTTGACATGGCGCGGTCACGACGCCAGGGCCAGGGCCAGATCGAGCCGCTCGCACGCCGCACTGTGCTAGCGCCAGGGCCAGTGACCCGTGCCAAGGGGACTGCCACGGCGATCTTGAAAAGACTCCGCAGCAAGGCAAAGACTTCTAGGAGCTCGCTTGCAAACGGTCTGGCAAGTGGATGGGCGACAGCCAGAGATCGCTACCATGCGGCCAATTACAGTTGGAAGCTGGCGGGCTGGCAGCTGCTTCGTACACAAGAGCGACAGAAGCTTGGAATGGTTCCTGCTAGACATCGAGAACCCATTAGCTGGTACTCTTGGACCTCTGCTAGGTACTGGCAGCTGTCGGACAAACTGGCAGCGTCTGCTGGCTCCAATCGAGCTTGGAGCATGCTTACGAAGTGGTTGAACCTGAACTCTAAAGGCCTTGCACTAGGATTGGCCGAGGGGACAATCTTGTTCAAGTTCACGGTGCCAGTGCACATGCCACTCATGCTCTTCACGATTGTGAGCTTCTTTCGCCATCGGCGGTGGGTGGCTGCCGAGACAACAGCTGACTTGGAGGAAGACAGTGTGCAGGCCAGTGTTTCGTGCCACAGTTTCGCGTTGTAGCACTTTTCGGCGGTTGACCCGCACCGCCGGTTCGCTTCTGCGCTGCTTCCTGTCGACATTGCTGCCCGTCGGTCCGGGCTCGTGACCTCTCCCTGGCTCTCTCTCCTCTCTGTCTCTTTTGTCTCTCTGCAAATGCAAGGCATCCTAAGCCCGAAGAGTCGAAGCATAGCACATGCTGTCACAAAGCTGCCTGGGTTTGGGCTCAGAGTGTGGTTCTCAGAATTGCTCGTCGTAAGGTTCGGCGGAGAAACATGCGAGTACAGGCGTGCAAAACGAGAGAGACAGTTGGAGACAGCAAGACCCGCGAAAAGATTAATAGCGAGAGATGTACAAACAATGGAGATGCAGATGCATGTTCATGCGTGTGAGGTGTCATGTGGTTGATTGTCCAAAGACGGCATTGAGCACTGACTCAGGTACAAGGAGGCAAGGTGACAGAGTCCTTGGAGGAACCCAGCAGAACGTCAAGCTCCGCTAGGAACGCGGCCAGAGACATCAGCTACTTGGGTCGGTGGGGACTGGCTTTCTGGCAAGAAGTGGAATAGCTTGACGTGCAATGTGTACATGAACGAGCGTTGTGTCCGATTTTGGCTGGGTGCGCTCTGTTCCTGGATCCTGCGCTTGAGAACAGCAAGAGGCTGCGCAGAGTGACTGCGGGGAATGTGGTAGTGTACAGCAAGGGGCACTGCACGGAAATGCGTTTCACTGAGTCGGAACACTTCTCGCTTGTCCTCTACCAGTCCGAGCAGCAAAGAACGCAAGAAGCAACTTCTCAACAACCTGCAAGACTTACGCATTACGGCATCATGACGGGTAGCCATGTCCTGTTAGAGGAAAGCCGCCACGCAGACACACAGACTGAGTGGTAGTAGTCGCTTAGCCGTACAGAGCATGGCCATTCTCACTGTGTACCAGCTGCTGAAGACTTCAGCGAAGCTCGAAAGGGGCCTGTTTCTATTTCTTCTTCGATTGTACTGTCTCCGATTGGCTTGCCCGGCGATTTTGTGAGCCGTTGGTGCCTGCTGAGGCCATGGCCGCAGTAGCTGCAGAATGCATGATTGCCGGGCTCGTGGACGGCAGTCCTCTCAACCCTTCAGACACTGGCTGCCAACTCCGAGGATGCTGAAATTGAGGGCACTCAGCCAAGCATCGTGGTCATGCCAACATGTTGGCTGGAGGGCCGGGATCCCAGGAACTGAGTCAATGTTCTTTTGCGGCTCATGCCAGGTTGACCCTACATGCGGAATGGGAACACTACTGCTCGTTAGGTTCTTACTGCGGAACATGTCTGCCTCGCACGGGTGTCAGCAAAGTGCCGATTGCATCCGTCTTTTTCCTTCAGGCGGCGGCACGCATCTGGCCCCAGGTCAGTTGGCGGCTCAACTCCCGTGTGGGCGTCGCCTCTTGTGTGAGACTCGAAGCTGAGGTCAGCGTCCCTTGCGGCTTGTAGGCAGCGACACCATGACTTGAAGACTTATGTGTCATGCGACAGCATGTGAGCAGAGGCCGAGAGACGAGCAGCAGTCAGCTGCAGTTCCTGAGCTGAAAAGCCCCAGGGATTGGAAGCAGGAGATGTTTTATGGGAAGGTGCAGGCGGTTGTGTAGACGCTTGTTGCAGAGCATTGTCTGGCTGCCTTCCTGGTTGGATCCCGAGGAAATGCTTGTCAAATTTTGCGGCTTGCTGTGTGGATGCGCGCCGGGCCGAGGTAGCGAGATAGGATCCTGTCGCACAGGAGCTGCGCGAGCCTCCTCGGTGCCAAGGTCTGACATACGCATGGGCGATGGCAGGGCTCGGAGCTGAAATGCCTTCAGACGGCCTTTCAATCGTCGGTTCTTCTCGCTGCCAATCCTGACTCAATCCTGCCTGCAAGGATGCTTCGGCCTTTGCTGACATCGCTGATGCATCGGTCCATGGCCAAGAGTGGAGAGGGAGGGCTGTGCAGGTCACAGGCAGCCCATGCAGGGAAAGTCGCATTCAATGGGAGGCAGATGCTTTGATTTGTGATTTGCCGAGTGGGGCCGCGCACAAGGCAGGGTGGCTTTGCACGTGGTTAGCCATCTACAAAAGCTCGCAGTGCTCAGTTGTAGCACGAGGCCAGCTCAGACAAAGAGCCTCTGACTCAGGCTGTAGCGAGACAAGGCAGAGACTTCGGAGGCCCAAGTTTTCAGGTCCTACATGGCCTTCCTGCGGCTGGCCGAGCGGATCTTGCGGCAGGGTTCATGGATGGGCTTGAGATGCTTGGCTTTGCTCTGCTCCAATTGCAAAGACAACGAGGCCGGGAGGACGCTGTGTGCTGCTCTCCAACCGGCAGCAGCTGCTTTCCAGGAGCACCGGAAAAGAGCGAACTGCCAACATGTGACGCAGAACTGCTGTTCGGAAGGTGCGCCCAAAGTGGCCCCTGGAAAGAAGTTTGTTCCTGGGTGATGGGGCGTGGCGAGGTGGCACGTCAGGCAAATCTGCGACCAAGCTTTTCGTCAAATCTTCTGCAAGGCGAATATGCTGAAATTTCTGCTTCTCGTGCTCGAGCGGGAGGAATCCATGGTTGCACACATGCCCGGAGCGAAGTAGAAACCACTGCAGCGGCCAGGCGACCCCTCCAACGCCAGTCCCCGGCAAAAGAAGGGTGCACAGTTCGGATGCAAGGGTAGTCTCTCGCCTGTTGCGATGTATTTCCGCTGGCTTGGGTCTGAGGTGCCGGCCTTGCATACACAGACCAGCCCTAGTCTACCATGGTATGTTGTGCAGCCACTGCTGGTAGTAGATGCAACAGTACGGTCTGAAGCATTGCAGATTGTGCCATGTCCCTTTGCCTGCGCTAGAACTGCACAGTGGTCGATCTTTTCAGAAAGCAGTTCGCCGAATGCAGCAGTATGTGACATAAGGTCCTAGTGTTACGGGCGTCTGAGTTGCCAGATGGCAGCGGTGTTCTTGCCCGATGCTTCCATATGCAGATGAGAATGTCTCGCGTGAGCTGCAGCCGGTGGAAACGGTGGAGATGTGCAGAGGTCGACGAAACTTGATGCTCGCAGCCCATGCTGGGTCGCTTTGAGTGCGTTCCTGAAGGCCAGTGTGGAGCTTTGGCGAGCGCCTGCCGCAATAAGGCATCTCAGCTTACTTCTGAGCTTCTGCCCCGAGCATCTCCGATCTTTCGGCTGCGAGGACTCCGCTGCAGCAAGGGCATTGATAGAGCAGGGTGTGGACGTGGCTGAGAAGGAGCCTCGGCGTCCGCTGGTGTCAAGTCAAAGACCCTCGCACTGCTGTTCTCACCCAGGTTGGATTCTGACAACTTCAATGCAGCTATTCATTGGGCTGTTCCGGACCGAGTCGTTTGACCGATGTTCAAGGCCGCATGATGTGTGCACGTGATTTCTGCCAGGCCTGGAATGGTTCGCACAGTCTCGTCAAGCCCTTACTGGATCGTCTTCCATCTTCATCGCTTCAACACATATGTGGCCCTCAAAAACTAAGAACGGCCTAGGTAACCGACCTGCTCGGAGCTCGGGCTAGCGTCCACCAAGCAAACCAGGAGGGCCTCCAAGCAGCAGCCTCTGCTTCCGTCACCTACGATTTCTGGAGCGGGGGATCTCCAGAGGCCGTGCACCTTGCGACGCGCAACGGCAGACTGTCAAAGTCTCAGTCGTTTCTCCAGGCTTACAGGAACTCTTCGCATCGTTTGTGAGCCAGGTCAACCTTGGCAGTGTTGTGGCGCCTGCACCTCGGTCATTGCCTCCCGCGTTCTGTTATTGTCAACAGCCTCGTCGCCTCGTGCCGGCGAGGCCACGAAAATGGTGTCGTTGCTGCACGTGATGCTGAGGCTGAGCAGCAGAGTTTGCACCTACAGTTGGTCCCACTGTGCCTTCAGGGCTGACAGGCTCAGTTGCGTCCTCGGGACAGGAAGACAGGACATCGGCAATCGGCGTGGGCAAACAATGTTTTGCAAGCTCAACGGTAGTTCGTTGCGGCAGAGGCAGGAAGCGCACTTCGAGAAGCACCTAAGCAAACCTACCCTACTCCTTTGCGAATTGCTTACAAGGCTTACAGTACAGCTCATGTCATCCTCCGGCAGGGTGGGACGGCCGCGCATCATGCAGCGAACTGCGGCTTCATTCACATTCTGGAGTGGCTGTGCCCCTGCGATCTGCCATTGGAGTAGCTACGGCTGGATGTTTTCTTCCGTTCATCAGGTATTTGAAAGGGGCCTCCATGAAGTCTGCCGACTCTTACGGGCTAACGTGGGCCCCTGGAACTGCAAACATGTCACGGTTCTGCACGGGTCGACGTGATGCCAGCCACAGGCCGCTCCACTGTGCAGCAGTGGCCTTTGCATGCGGAGTGCTGGGCTGGCCGGCCAGTGCATTTACATGTTGACCGGTAGTGAGGTAATGGCTGGAAAGGTGCTTGCGACGCAGATGCTCCTGAGGTAAGCTGATTGCTTTCACATGCTTCATGATGCCATGTGCCACACCCGGAAGAATGGCTGGGCTGTCGCAGAGAAGGCGTGGTGCAGATGCCCTTGCTGTCGATGTCAAGCGACGCCTCGTGCTGAGTGAGATTTGGCTCCTCGCATCCGATCAAGAGAAGCGGCGACAAGCGTGCTCGGGACAGGAACGCCGCTCCACTGGGCCGCCGTTCACGGCCGTGGTGCTTTGGTCGAGTCGGTGTGGAGCCCAGATGACGATGACCTAATATGACAGCAAGGCATGGCTGGAGTTGGGGCATTCCCAAGCGTGAGATCCGGAGAGGAATGCTTATGACATGGTTCGGTTGAATGTCACACTATGTCATTGTCAAAGCGGCCAAAGCAGATACGACTGCAGAGAGGATGCTGCCGGATTCGGCCCTTGCTGGGCTCTGAGGTGTATGGCATTGACAGGAGAGCCCTTGGAGGCCCCGCGGCTTTTGACATACAGGCGGGCTGTCCAGCAGCAAACTTGTTCTGCTTGCTTCCCATGTGCAGGACTACCAAGGCAAAAGGCCGCAAGACCTCACGCGACGTATGGACCGCCTGCGAAGACATGCAACATGATGCCTTTCCGGATTGCTGACTCGAAAGGACATCTGTATGATGGCACACCTGACACATGCGAAGGCTGTCGGAGCTTGTGTTTGGTGCCCCTGTGTCAGAGACCGACACAAACGATCATTCAGGCTTGGCACGGCCGTGCAAACAGAGGCGCCCGCAGCGCTGTCTAAGCTTCAGCAAGTCGCCGAGCCAGCTCTCCTTACCCAGGCTGTTTCCTTCGATGCCTGACGGAGCTGATGCCACGACAGGTCGTCGTTTGCGGAGTTTTGCGTGGTGCGTTCGCCATTCTTGCCCAGCCTACGACTCTCTTCATGGTGTTTCTGACGCCCTGCTTGCACAGTCTGGAACCCAACTGAGCTGCAGACGTGTTTGTGCGGCCGCATAATAATGACGACCATGTGGTAGCTCTTCCTCGGATACGTTTTGCCATGACCGCTGTTCACCGTGCTCAGTTCAGCTCGCAGCATGGAGAGCAGTTTGGCAGGAGAGTTGCTGCTAGTCTTGCGTAGTCACATCGCTCGCTCAACAACTGCACATCGTGAGCTCAGCACGTGGTGACACACCTTCGAAGCCGAGTTGTGAGAGTGTAAGTCGTGGCAAGCGGCAAGCATATTCACAGATTTCTTGCTCTGCAATTTTGAATGCCATGAGCCGGCGGAAGCCACGGCTTTGCGCGATTGCTGTAAGCTCCCTGCCGTTCTTGGGCTACTTGGGCCTGTTCGCTATGTCTTCATATTTCAAGCTTCCTTCTTGGAAGTCATCGCAGAAAAGAAAGGTTTGACAAGGCTCTTCGTCACAAAGCTACCCTGGACGCAGAAGGACGCCCGGTACTCTCTCCTCCCAGCCGTGCCAGTGTTTGATGTCGAAACCGCCAGGACGGGCATTCAGGCCATGCTGGCCTGGCGCACAGGGCAGTGGCACAAGACGTGGTAGAAGATGTGGTGGAGGTGGTTGAAGAGTTGGAGTCTTGCCTACCTAGTGACATCCGCACGTGCTGTAACAGCTTTAGAAATTTAACCGTGTGCTGTGACCCCTACAGCACCAAGGCTCCTCCGGTCGATCTGAAGAAGACCCCATGGGAAGCACTGGACGTCGCGTTCCAAGCCGAAGGCAAACGCTGCTGGGGGCCTGGTTTCGATGGAAAAGTGCCCGGTTACATTGCCGTCACTTGGCAGAGTTTCCGTGCGGGTCTATAATCTAAAGCAGGAGATGCAGGAAACAGTGTGCAGTCTCCCAAGCCCAGGAGTGTCTCAGAAGAGAGAACCCTGCCAGCTCGGATGAGCCGCCTTTTCGTCGACGCTGGTTAAAGCGGAGGGAGGAGGAGAGCGACGAAGCACCGGCCGCTGGATTCGAATGAACGGCAGCACTTGCCCAATGTGGCCAAGCACAGGTTGCGGCAGCGCTTCTCCATCAGACTCAGCAGAAGTGCCGACCGAGGACCCCTACGCCACCTTGGGAGTCGATCCCAACGCAACGCTGAAAGAAATCAGGAAAGCGATGCTTGGATTATCTTTGGAGCCAAGCCGCTCAGCCATGCAGCCTGTGAGCCTGGGACTTTCCGAGGTACATTCGTTTGGCCAAAGAGACGCATCCGGACACCGGAGGTGATGCCGTGGCCTTTCAAGACGTTCTCCTGGCGTACCGTATCCTCAGCGATGAAGAACGTCGGAAGGAATACGACCAGACAGGCGAGGATGCCGGCGACGCACCGGCTGAGGAGCGGAAGGTAAGGGTTTCAGACTTGGCGACGCTGCGGTCCGCCATTGAGAATCACAGGTGGGCTGGGTCTGGAGACCAGTTCACATTGCGGTTTGCATCCTTGCCCATGCAGGGAGGTGCGCTGGGAACGTGGCATGGCCAACCTGGCTGGCCAGACAGGTACTGTTCAGTTCGATGACCCGGACACAGGGCTGACAGTGCCCTGCTTAATTGCCGAGCGATCACAGCACAGTAGATAATCCCGTGACCTGGTGCAAGCCTGCACATGCTTGCCAGGAAGTTGTCATCTGGATTTCCGCAGAAGATGGATTTTCAGCTTGGCTTCCCAGCGAAGTCTTGACATATCTCAACCCGGACGGGGAGGAGCAGCCGTACGAGTTCTACCAGCAAGCTCTGATGCGGTTGAACAAGGGAGCGTTACTCAGCAAAATTTGGGCAGAAAGCACCTCACCCTCTCAAAAAATCCACCTTCAGCATGTTCATGCTGGATTTCCCGCAGTGCAGCTGATGAGCCGCTGAGGCAGGCCTCCGTAGGCTTGAAATGATAGTACGTAGTGTAAACCTTGTTATGTTTGTGTAACGTGGTTTCACAATGGAGAAGTTGCCGATTTCGGATTCGACTGCATAAGGATTGTGAAGATTGAGCCGTACGAGAAGCAGATGAGCCGCATCATCGAGTATACTCTGGGCTGGCAATCGCACGACAGTGGTGCAATGCAGAAGCCGGATCCGTCTCTTGGTCGTCCATTTTGGAGTGCGTCGGGCTTGCAGTTGACATTGACTGTGAGAGCATGGTTGAGGCTGCGCGATGCCGCATTCGCCCAGGCTTGTGAAACGTGTCAACGGGTTTGAAGGATGTAAAGCCACAAGATGCCTACCGTGAGATATGACAGGTCTTCTTCAAAAAGGGACGTGAGGCTGAAGATCGTGGCGTGGTGCTTGATATTGGTTGTGGCACTGGTGATGGAAGCCGGCTCTTTGCGCGGCCGGGTCAAATCAGCGCGCTGTTAATTTTATGTGTTTCATTCTTGTAGGCTCGTGATCACATGGATCCTCTTGGAGATGCCGTGTCGCCCTTGCTAAACGCAGCTGAGGACTTCCCGAAAGTTTGACCTCGTGTTTGGTTGCTGGTCTTCCCAACCTATGTCGGTCTGAGTAGGCTGTGTTGAAGCGGGGAGCACTCCGCAACCCGAAAGGTTTGGACACGAACTCCACGGCTCTCGGCCAGGCCCGACAGGCTGGGTGCCATTGCTCGTTCTAGGTGCTAACTCGCAGCGGGTCATGCTTCGGCTTTGGGGCTTTGGGCTCCTCTCAGGAAAGCGAGGATGAGGAGATCGGTCCAGAGCAGGGCCTCTTTCTTCTGCGCGCCGATGCTCAAGAGCTGCCATTTCGAGACCAGCAAGTTGATTATGAGCCTTGCCGCATTGTCTGTGAAAGTTTGCGCATGGAACTCCTGCACGATAAAATTTGCTCAATTCGAGGCGTTGTGCTTCGTTGCAGATTCAGGTGTGGTGGTCATTCGGTTGGTCGGAGGTGGAGCGTCCCGAAGATGTATTGAAGGGTTCCCTGCCAGCACAAGCTTGACAGCGTTGCGTCTTCAGTCTGCTGTCTGATTTTGAAGCCCCTTCGGACAGGCATCTACAGAGTATTGAAAGTTGGTGGCAGGACAGCACCAGCCTGCATAGTTGCCAACCATGTCAGCTCGAAGCTGCGCAGGGTGGTCATTGCCACGGGATCCGGAAAGCCTTTGGCCAAGGATGCTGCCCTATGCCGGCCTCTTGGATGATGTGGAGCAAGTTCGGAAGAAGTGATTGTGCAGGAAATCCAGTCAAAGTTGTCGGAGGCAGGATTTGCAGACACTTGTCTGAGACTTGCGCTCCCGAATCCGGAGATTGCCCCATTTCAATTCAAGCAGAGCCTGAGGAAACATCAATCTACCCGCCGCGATCCCGAGTTTTTCTGAATTATGCTCCTTGGCTTGCAAAACGTCTGTTTTCTGAGTTATAACTTTTGAGTCTTCCCAGGCCGCAAAGCTCCATTAAGTGGAGCGTTGCTGAGTCCAAAGACGATCGCTGCGGGCGTTTGAAAGTCCACGCTTCCAAAGCTCGACCCGCAATGTGCTTCGGAAAGATCGATTCCGGATCGCTGAGGGTTGGAAATTGACCAAGCTCAAGCTGCGCAGACTTTCGTCAGGCTTGAACTTGTTTCTCTTGCTGTACATCTTCGCCCCGGCCTTGGATTTGACCCGGGGATGTTGAGGCCTGAAGGATTCCATTCTCCCGCTTGCCTGCACCCAGGTGAGAGAGCTTGGGTACCTCCACTGCCTGTCATTCGATGCCGCCTTGTCCTCAGCCAGAATAAAGCAGGCAGAAATCTCGTTAAACCTTGAGTCCTGTTTGGGGGGTTTCCGGGAGCACACCTCCCTCCTTCCAGGCCTCAGCGCCGAGAGAACGCACTGCTTGAAACCAGATCATCGCTCGCAGCATAATACCGAAGTTGGTTGTTGGATCAATGTGGATCGGCAACAAAAGTTGCGACTCACCGCTGCATTTTGCAGCAAGTATTGGCTGTTGAGGTATCGGATGTGTGCTGTTCTTCAGTGCTGTTCAAGAGAGAGTGAAACGCTTCATATCATGTCCAGAATTCGATCTTTACTTCTTCATAGTTTTCCGTTGACGATTGTAGCGCCCGCCTTGGAAGGCAAGCCTAGCAGGTCTTCAATTTGCTGGGCAGGTGATCTCTTTCAGGCACCTCACATGGCCATGATAATAAGATGCCGGGAAACATCCAAGCGTGCAGGCTGTTTTGGAAGACATGCTGGTCTGACCCCGGCTACTGCTCGATGCTCAGCCATGCTCAGCCATGCTTTCTTGTTGCTTCCACGGCTGGCATCCCTTCTGGGAGCGATGTGCCGGAGGTGCCGCCCATGTCCACAACACAGCAGATGCCGACGAGCGCCTGGCCCAATGCGGGGTCTCTTCGTCAAGCCAAAGCCGTTGCTCTGCCAGACCAACACAACAACAGGCTAAACATCGCAGCGAAGAGCTTCCCGAATGAGTGCCCTGTCCTTTCGCATGCAACCGCATATCCAAATGTCTTCGGTGCTAAGTTCCAGGTATCTCCAACTGGCATCCTCGCAGGAAGCAGAAATGAATCCTTCAGGCCCATTTTAGCTTTCTGAGAAACGGTTGCGGTGGGGTGTCATGGTTGAGGAAGCTGGCACTTTCCGCTCGAGGGCTGTGCGTTGCACATAAAGCTAGTTCCGGATGTTGGGTGCACGGTGCGTCGAGGTGCGCGGTATGATTCTGGGTTCTGCCCCGGCACTATGGATACCCTTCTAAGCTCAGCATGTAGTTCAGTCGGACCGGCTACCATCAAGTAGCTTCCTTCCCTCAGCGCTGCAGCATGGCATGGGACTTGCAAGCTGCGCATCATGGTGCGCACTTTCTGGATGTGGGGCTTCTGGGTGCCCTTGGCGAACTTTGGTTTTTTCGATCTCGGACGCTCGATGGCAGAGCAAGGTCGGATTCGCTGCATCGCGCGCGGGGTTATCTTTCCAGTGCACTGAGCCATGTGACTTCAGAAGATGCCGCATCGGTTCATGTCTGGTTGAATCGAGTGCTGGATGCTCAGGGCGACCTGGATGCCTGTCGCGCTTGGGCAGACAAGTGCGTATCTTTACAGATCCTGTGGGAAGACCCGTACCAGCGTCCAGGGCATTTCCTTCGTGGCTTGAGGTCACAGCCGTGGTATCCGTCTTCACAGTTCGAGCTTTGCAGACGGTTAGAGTCTGCCTACGATGCAATCAAAGCGGAGCTTCTGGCACTGTCAAACGTGCAAAACGACTGGAGCCGTGTCGGAGGTCGTGCGGTGCATGATGGAGGTTTAATAGCTAGTGGAGATTGGCAGGAAGTAATCCTTCTTGGCGACTCAGAACAATGCTTCGCCAACCGTTTGAGGTGCCCAGCCACGTCCGCAGTGTTATCATCCCGACCTGAAGTGGCGGAATGTGCACGACTTGGCGTAGGAGAAGCACTGTTCTCCCTGCTGAAGCCGCACACCAAACTTCGAACACACTGCGGGCCCACCAACATGCGCTTGACATGTCACCTGGGACTTATCATACCAGACGGATGCCACATCATTGCAGGGAGCGGTCCACCTCGAATTTGGAAGGAGGGAGCCTGCACTGTTTTCGACGACTCCTACGAGCATTCGGTGGAGAACCGTTCCGACAACAACCGCATAGTATTACTTGTGAACTTCTGGCATCCTGATATTGATCCGAACGATTGGGTCAGGTTGTCCGGTTTGGCATCAGGAAGTGGGTAGCAACTCGCCTTCCTTGGACCAAGGGGCCTTTGGAGCGGAATGTCAAGCGAAAGCGAAACCGATCCCCAGTGTCAAGCATGGCCTTTCTCTTCAAACGTACCTCCATAGAGGGGCTGATCGAGATGCAAACTGTAATCTGATCAGACTTGGCGGGTGTGACATTTTGTGCCAGGCTGGGGCAAGAAGGCCTGCGTAGTGTGCGGACGGTTGCGCACCAGGCGCTGCAAACACTGCAGGCAGGTTGCTTATTGTGTATGCTCGTAAAGATCGCGAGTATCTCCTCCGTCATCATGTCCTTGACCTACCTAGGCAATGTGGACGCTGTGTTGCAAGATTTGATCATCACTGCCCTTGGCTGGGTAATTGCAGCGTTGCAGCACATGGCAGCATGAGCTACTTGGATTCTCATGTTTGGGCCGCGGCCAGGCATTGGTGAAGGCAACCTGCGACCAGGCTGAGAACAGACTTCGCGTCTTCGGGGTGTATTGTAGTGTGTAGATTCGTGTAGATTGTAAAACATTTCGACAGAGCTCGATCCTTGTCTGCTCTCCTTGCCAAGGAATGTCTTCCTGCGGCTGCAGGCTTAGTCTCATGCGTGCTTCGGGAGACGTGCAGCATCCCTCCTCTGGTTGCTGAGGTTTCTGGCATCGACACTCCTGTGACAGCCACAGTCCGAACACAGATTGGGGCCATGCACCCGTCAGCACACGAGGTCGTTGTTGCTTGCCATTGGGCTGGCCTTCGAAGGCCTTGAGGCCCACGTGCGACCTTCGTGGCAGCCGCAGAAGTAGCGCAGCTTTTTGCGGCATGCAGCAGGCAGCCAGTTTGGTGCTGCGAGGGGCCGAACTGCCGCTGTGGTACACTGCTGCACCTAGCCTGAGTGAAACACTTTCTGCTCCATGCCCCTAGATCATCACACGAACATTTTCATCCAAAGCAATCCATAATGCAAGCAATGGAGGTCAGCATCATGATGGTGATTGACGGTATTCTTGCGCCTTGGCAAAAGCCAGCGCAATATGCATGCTTTGCGATGTGTGGTTGAATCGATACTCGTATGGGCTGCAGACAGAAGCTAAGCACCTGGATACGAAGTGGCGGAACTCCTCGCGGCGTCGAAAGGGCGTCTTTCGTGAAAGCACTTCCAAGGAAAGGAGAGCATGTTGGTGTTCACTGCGGTTGTATGTTTCCGTCTGTGAAACAACGAAACACAACCACGATGGAACGAGCAGCATCGTTTCTCGGCAGCCATGACTGATTGATTGATGTTGCTGGCGGCGTTTTCTTTGGATTTCTTGGGGCGATCGCTTGACAGATGAAGCCTGATGCTTCTTGCAGCCCTTGCTCGTGTCAGCCTGTTCGTCAGCAAGGTGGACTCCTTGGCTCAGATAGGCAAATGCTTGTAGTACTGGAAGCAGAGGCAGAGTGAAGGCCAGTGCTAGCGGCAAAGTACGGAGGACATGTCTTGACGAATGAGAGGCATTATGGGTCCCAGGTGCTTTTCGTTGGCTGCGTCTTCACCCGGCAGGCGTGTCGTGCATGCTTGGCGGTTTCAGTAGGTACCAGTAGGTACCAGTGTCCAAGAGCAGCCTCGGCAATGAAGGTGCTGCTGGCAGCCGCAGACCTGACAGAGTCGGGTGCTGAGGATGCGCGGACCAGGGTTTGGTACGGTGTGGTAGGGACAGGACGGCGCACCAATCTGTGTAGCCGTTGTAGTGTCTTTCGCCAAGATTCCAGGTAAAAGCGTCATGCTCTGCGACAACTGTCAGCTGAGGTATGAAGACTCTGTAGAAGATGGGATACACCTGTGTACCATTCTGCGACGGACAAGTGTCCGCTCCCGAACTGTGCAGAGCCAGTCTGCTTCGTTTTCACGTGCCGTTAGAGAGATGTCAGCACAGGTCCGGATCCTCCTCGCCAACTCCTTGAAGTGGTTTCTCCCTTACAAGGCCACCTGAGTTCTATTCGATGCAAGTGTTCCGACTCGCAAGCTTATCTCGTGTCCCATGACATGTGGTCTAGTCTATCTACGGGTTCAGGAAGATGTCGTCGAAACGCTTGCAGGGAGTGTGCATAGCTGCATGCATAACGTTTCGCCATTGTGGTGTGTTGGAACGGTTTTGCAGACGAGGATGCGCGACAAGACGCTAAAGATCCTGACTTGGAGGCAGCAAAACTGCAAGTCGAACGTTTGCGCCACAGAATCCTTCCCGTGCCGTTCAAGCTCTCGCAGGCACAGCTGAGCCAGCGAGGCACAGACACGGCTGAGAAACAGGAGCCACAAACACCTCCCCAATGGTGCTTCTTGTTTACTGCGTCATGATTCGTGTCATGAGCTCGGTCGGCGGCGTCAGGGAATCTGTGCACAGCATTTGCTTGCTCATGTGACGGCTGCCATTTGAGTCGAGACATAGACTCGGTTGCGCAAGCACATGGAAACATGCGGAAAGGCCATGTGGCCCTTCTGCGTGAAGCTAGTCAGCTCGGGCCCAGCCGTTTTAGAGCTGCTTCGGAAGGTCAATGGACTGCCCCCGCGCCTGCTGTGTATGGTAAAGGCAGGCCAGGCAAGATCCCAGTGAGGCTCCGAGAGTTTGTGATGCGATTCACGGCTGCACCTGAGTTATGGCGTAAGGGGACAGAGGCTAGGAACCCGAAAGTGCAAGGTCGGTGGCGGTGGCGGGTGGCAGTCTCGGATAATTCTGCTAAGCAGCGTTCGACATGTGTTCTGGTTGAATTTTGAGGCCGCTGATACCGCCTGCCGGCTACAAGGTGCTGCAAATCGTTCATGTGGAAGACAAGTCACCTTGGCACGTGCCACGGGGATTGGCGACCCATGTTCTAAACAGCACATCCAAACTTACGCTTTCTTCCCTGGAATCCTGGAAGGTGCAAGTCTACCAGTACAGACCCCAAACATTGAAGCGGCACCGAACAGTCCGAGCTCCACATACGCAAGAACTACTCCCGACGAACCCCTACGGCTGCCAAGATCACCCCGTGAGTCCAACATGCACATCACACCGTGGGCTAACTTGTAGTGCTGATACAAGTAGCAACTTGGCGGTCCCAAGGCGATCAGCACTGCCCCGGTGATGGGAGACCGCGTTTAAGCAGTCATGTCGGGAGGTTGGGTTCGGGTGCGGAGAGTATGTTTCCAACATGCAGCGGTTTGATTTCGATTCCACATCATGACACAGGGATCATGCTCTTAGAGTCGTAGAGAAATGCAATGCGCACTGTGCTGATTCGTTGCAGCTCTACGTCAATCCAAGCTTGGGAGCCATGCCGGGTCATGATTGCTGGAATTGCAATTGTTCTGCAGATGTCACGAAAGCTAGCTCTGTGGAGCTTGCGGGAGTTCTGGTTTACCAACTCACTTAACAGTAGTGACCCAGGCCAACATCGTGTCTGGGACCTTATTTGGCCCTTTCACAATACTTAATTGGGGCGGAGGGGGGGAACCGGGCCTCCCCCTCCCGGTGCAAATGATTGATTTAAAGGCACTCAGGAGGGGTGCCTCCCCCGCACCACAAGGTGCCCATCGCATTGCACAAGTTCGAGAAGGTCCCTTGTCAAGCATGTTTAGACTGCTCCTGCGCAGTGCATACGTGTTGTCTCGACCTCAGTGATCCGAGAAGTGCTGTACTCCGCTCACGAGTTGCGTTTATGCCCCTTCAAAGACATTGGGTGGTCATTCATGCGGCACCGTCAAGAAACGGATGCTAAACGGTAAACACCAGCCTCGCTCCACATGCGATTTTTCCCGCTGGAGATTCACCAACTAACACGGGCATAGCCGATCTACATGGGAGTGGACGCAGGCAAGCACACGGACGTCGGCTCAAGCAAAAATGTTCTGTATATGATTGGGAGCCGGCTAGTCGACACTCGCGAATGTTTTTTGTTCATAAGTGACATGGTGTAATGAGTAATGATGCAGTATGAACAGTCATCCTACTGGTTTCTGGGGGGTGTGGTTTCGCAGCAAGCTTAGATTGCTGCTTGTATCTCCTTGTGCCCTGAAAAGCTATCTTCGGGGTATGACCCGACCTGATAGATCCGATAGATCATGTGCCGGTTTGCGCTAGCGGGAGCTGGACTTCGGGTGGGCTCTGGCAAAGACTGTTGGAACGGCAGAAACACGAGTCACGCCCCGAATTGGAGCCTGTGGGAGCACGATTAATGCAAGGTACCGTGGCAGGCAGACGTGTCGCACCCAAAACACGCGCGGGACTGGAGCATGATGGGCCATGTTAGAGCGTCGTGATTTCGAAAACGTCTTGGACAAGCCGCCAAAAGCCGAATAGCATGGCCCTGCCATGACTTTCGAGTCTTCGAGCGGGTTGAAAACCAAAATGCTCACGGCACTGTTGAAAGCAGAGGTGGGTGCCTGGCATATGTTGGCACTTGCCCGTTTCATGAGGGGCCTGAAGGGCTGAGCCTCATGCGTTGCTTGGTGCTGCTAGACCCTCTGGATGCAACGCAGGGCCTTAACAGCCCTCTATGCCCGAAGGAAGAAGAGAGCGAGAAAGGCGCAGCCGTTTTGGCTCAGACGAGTGGTTCAAGCTCCGAGCCCCCCCGAGAGAGAGGAGCTCCAACCCGGCCGGGCCTGAGCGGGAGAGAGCGTGCCCCGTTATCGTTGTGACCGTGAAGGGCGGTCCTACGCGACTTCAACTTCCTGACCCCGCTCGGGACTTCGGTGTCGTTGTTCCAGGGAGCTGGCCTTGCACCGACGCCTTCGGGGAGATCGGCGATCCTATCCTCCTCGCCAACGCTCACGGCCTTTTGTGCGCCCTCTACGCTGGGAGGAGGACGCCTTCGACTACGGGTGCATGACTCTGGCAAGGACGGGCAGCTGGCAAACCTCCTGGACGTGGCGGCGCCTACACCCACCTCCATCTTCAGCACACGCCCAGTCGCGATGGAGGAAACTGTCACCACGGAGGCAACTGCTCGAAGCCTACAGCTGCAGCTCCAGCAGGAACACTTTGTTCTTAGCGGGGAGATACAGAAGGCCATGCCGCAGGTCAACTCCCGCGTGGACGATATTGAGGCGGGGGATGCAGTTGACCAGGCCTGGGGTGAGACCCTCACCAAACTACGCGATGTTGTCCGGGAGCTCCAGATCGATATCGACACAGAAGATGCCTTTTGTTCCTGGAGTGCGTAAAGTCTACGCAGTCATACCCTTCACAGCTACTGTGCCTGACTGAAGACCGCGACTGGAAGAGCAATATCCACAAGCACTTCTCCGGTATCTTCGCCAAAGTTTCAGCGCAGAAGAAGAGGGCTGGAGAACGATCACACAGCAGTTGCGGCGGGGAACGGGGGAGGATGGAATAACCCATGAGGCCCTGACCTGCTTGATGGACATACCTGAAGCTCCTTAATGATGCACCGTATGTAGGCAAGGTGCCTCCGAACATGGAAATGGGGCTTGCTGTTTTGCTCCCCAAGATATTTGCACCCAAGTCTTGGAACCAGACCCATAACCTCACCAGTGCTCTTTTGAAGCGGCTTGCGCAACTGCTGTTGCATCGGGGGCGGCATGCTATCGACGCCGCGGGGAAGCACCAGCTGAGAAAAACCTGGGAGACAAACCATTCATCTTGTGCTGGACATGCGGCGACTGACGAGGGTGGCCAAAGACTGGGGCGACCCGCTGTACATCGTTAAATTGGATGTGGCCAAGGCATTTGACAGCGTCTGTCAGCTGCACATGGGGGAACTGATCACACGCGAAGTCGCAACGGCTGTGCGAAGATGTCTTCCGTTACACAGGAGTGAGCCCAAGCCGGGGAATGCCCGACACCAGGGCACCTTTCAAAGGTCTTAGAACTAGTCCAAGTGGGCAGCGCACTCCTTGGCAAGTCGCCACCGATGCTGCTGAAGACGCCTATATAGCCCGCCTCACGGCTATCGCGGCGTCAGGGGAGTGTGCGGGGAACTTCGGGGACTTGGAAGCAAAGCAATCTCTTGGTGGACGCGGCCACAGGAGTGGGGGGTCCTTGTCGGCATTGAATTTCACAGAGGACTTGCACAAAAAATTCACCCTGCTGACATGGTTGGGCTTGAAGCCCGGGGGGGACCGAAATGGGGGAGCGGAGAGACCGGGAGCCGCCCCAGGCGCTGCACATCTACAGGACAAAATGGCAGCATGTCTGGACCACGGAGCACTGGGGGGACGAAGTGGAGCTAGTGGACAGTGGGGACGGAGACCCCGACACGCGGAGGGCCGCCGACTACCTCAAAGTCCTCCCCGACTACCAGAAAGCGCGGCCAGTTCTACAGGCAAGGGCGAGGGGGCACTATTCACCGCGAGACCCAGTGATAAAAGCAGTGAGGGCGAAGACCGAAGGAGACGCAGTTGCACAAACCCGAGCTTCCTAGATAACGATGACTGAGTGAGTGTCTCGGGGTTTGCCGGGGAGTGTAATGCAGCCTTGTGTCAGTGCCACTGTCGCCCACGAGCCGCAACAAAGGGCGGTTTGTAGTGACAGTTCGCAAAAGTGCAGGGGAGTGGAGCTCCCACAGCACCACGGAGAGCGGAACCAGTGCTTGGTACAACCAGTCGACGTTCGTAGGCGTGTTTGCAGATTAGTCATTGCAGTTTGATGTCTCTTCATGTTGGCACAGTCAATCCGCCAGTACCTGGGTGGCCCGTGTGCTGCCTACTGGTTGGTCACGGTTTAGGAGGGGTGTTCGTTGGGGGTCCCAGGCACATACAAGTCGCACAGAGTTACCGACGCGAACTGAGGTGGGGTTAGGCCTTCGGGCCAGGGGGGTTGCGGCCTCTACAAGCAGGGAGTCCATTTGGTTGTTGAAGTTGCCTCCAAGGGCCCTGAACCTGCCAACCGAAAAAGGGGGTGGGATACTCGAGACGGAGATTGGTGGTCGCAGCTACTTAGGACTGGCGTTAGGGGGGTGCAGTGAGCGGATCAGGTCTGTTCGGGATGAAGGCAAGGGCCAGGAAGGCATGGCGGGGTCAAAAACGGTCGAACTGCAGATCGCCACCCGTAAACACCAACTCCGGCTAGCTTCATAGTAGGTCGCTTGAACATCAATGAAAAAGGATGGCAACGCAACCACCTGGGAAAGCGCTTAGCTCAATGGCGGAACGGAAAGCCGCGACTGCAAATCCCACAGGAATACCCCTGCGCCGTCCTGCGCCCTCCGAGCTGAAAACCGTCGTACTTGCCTAGGATGGATTGACCCAGAGTTCGCCGAAGATGTCCGTGCCAAATTTTTGCCATCCCATGAAGCAGTGCAATGGAACGATAATTGGCAGGGAGGGCTGCAGATCCTTTGTTGTACAGTGCGCAGATCCCGAAGTGAACAGTTTTTGGTGATGCAATCTTGAAGTCGAAGTGCGTTTGCTGGAGCTTGCTGTTGTGAAACAGGTGGGGCCCCTGTCATGTTGAGAAGTAGCAGGACAAGATCTTTGTCTTGCTTTTCCACAGGGGAAAGCAAAGCAAAGGCGCTGTCCAACAAGAGAGACTGCGCGGGGAGCATTGATTCCACACCTGAACACTACAAAGCATGCCGACATCTTGGCGGGAGTGCGATCTCAACAGCTCCATTTCATGCCGTACCAAACCATCCCCAGGACGACCGACAGAACAACGCGATGCTTGATAACTGAAACCGATCTTCCACAGAGCCGACACGAGTCTGTGAAGGGAGAGGAAACATGTCTTTGAGAGCCAGTCGTTGATGCTTCTACTTTCAGATCGACATGCCGTTCACAGCCCTTGCAGTCAGGGTGCTGCCCCTGCGGCCTTCAGCAACAAACAGTCGCAGAACTGGCAGCAGCAGCAGCAGCAGCAGCAGTCCTGGCAGGCCGAGACACTGTCTGATTTTGGCAGAGAATCTGCGAGTACGGAGCGTAACGGTGTGTGACAGGGGCAGGGGCAGAAGGACAGCCGGGACTTGTTCATGCTTGGCCGCAGTGGGCACGGCATGGTGCATGTGCGTGTTAGCTTGCCAAGAGCATGGTTCACATGCTGCGTTCCAGCTTGGACTTTAAGCTACTGGTGGTTTTGTCTGGGTTGAGAAAGGCCCTTGCGATTGCTCTGATGGTCCAGCTGATGCAGGAGGACACTGGGCCACCTCGAGTTCACAACTTGCAGCTGTTTCAGGACAGGCAGTGTGGGGTGTGCTCCACACGCATTGTGCCGGAACGACAGCACGCTGACAGAATTTTTGCAGTATGCCGCTCCACAGGGTGGTCCTCCTGAGCTGTGCATGCAAGATTCTAACTAGATTCGTGCGTGTTTGTGCTTAGTTTTATCTGCATACAGGCATACGTACACGCGTACATGCACCCATACGTACATGCATATGTGCATAGCTGCACACATGCATTTTCTATCTGCGTTACACCATCCATCCGTCACGCCATCCATCCATCCATCTATCAATCCCTCCATCCATCCATCCATCCATTACATGTCTACCACACACATACATACATACATACATACATACATACATACACACAGACATACATACAGACATACATACATACATACATACGAGCATACATACATACATACATACATACGTACGTACATACATGCATACATGCATACATACATGCATACATACATACATTCATGCAATCATACAATACACACATACATACATACATACATACATACATACGTACTAACATAACAGAACAGAACAAAACATAACACAACATAACACAACAGAAGAAACAAAATAACATAACAGGACATAACATAACATAACATAACATAGCATACATAAGTACATTCTTTCATTCATGCATTCATCTATCCATTGAATCCATTGCATTCGTTCCGTTAATTCATTCGTTCCTTGATTCATTCACTCATTGATTCATTCATTCACTCACTCATTCATTCATTCATTCATTCATTCATTCATTCGCATGCATTGGGCATGCAATATATGCGGGCATGTACTCAACTATGTGAAGATGTGCATATACTAGATGTTATACTGTTACTACGGGTGCCAGGAAAGTAGCCAAAATACCGTTGTGGCATCATACCGCGCATTGGAGTTTTCAGTTATTTGCAAACGGGGGCCTGCGATACCTTGAATGTGATATCATGTGATAACAGTAGTAGGAGACTTTTGAAATGCCTGCCGGCTCTCGAAGCCATCTTGACTTGTCGGCAAGTGCAGGAGTCACAGTTGACTACACAAGGATTCCCTCCAGAGGTGCGCATGTCCTAAGTTCACCCGAGTTGCGCTGGACGCATGTAAACCAAGCGAGAAAACGAGAGTCTCCTCGCTCCGTGCCTTCAGGCACCTGCCATTGTCTACGACAAGTCAATGCATGTGTTCAGTTCCGCTGGCAGCTTAAACTTCCTTGCCCATTGCACGCTTCACGTTGAGAATTGCACAAATGTTGCAAAGACACATTCTGAGGCGCACTCAATACTGCAGGAGATTGTGGGTGACATAAGCTGCGGCCTTCAACAACTGCACAAGAATTCCGTCATGTTCGGCGGCGACCAAAGGTGTTGAGGTGGAGATACACCACGATACGGACGGCTGCTGTTTAAGCTGGCAGTGAGCTACTATTACCAGCACCTTCTGCGCAGCATGTGCATGTCAACCTTCTGCCAGGAGTGGGACATATTTCCAGAAATCGGGGAGTCCATAAGACATGCAGGCCCCTTTTTTTTCTTAATGAGGTTGTCACGGTCGCATGTACTACCTTTGCCGCGGAACCCGCACTGCTAAGTGTGTGGTTGTAGAGCGTCTGCCGCAAAAGCGTTGGAGGCGCTGAGGAGCTGTGCTTCAGTCGGAGCCTCGCCTTTCGACGAGCAGTTGCAGCTTTGACATAGCATGTCACATGTGTCGTGCAGGCGTCGGGACCTGCCCGAATCAGGGCAGATGGGCTTGCCACTCAGTCGGCATGTCCGCGTATTAGGATTCACATTTTATCGCGGGGCGAAGCCGCAGGCGATCGAAGTCGATCACGGCATAATGGTTTTTAAATCCGTCCGGGATGGGCCGTAGCGTGATGGCAGACAGAGCGAAACAAGCAAAGTGGCTTGCTTGCCAGTTAAGGCACATGTTTGCAGTGTTGAGACTTGCTCAGGCAGTTGGCATTGCAAATGGCTGGAAAGGCGTGCATATGCAGCAGCAGAACAGGATTTGATAGATCAACTTTGATATCAGGCCGCGAAACTGCTGTGAAGCTTGCTTTGGGCTTCTCCTTGCTGGCCGACCGATGTGCGCCTGCGAACCCTTGACCTTGCAACTGTGTGCCGGGGTTTCCAAACCTGCAACCTTGACCAGCACCCGATGATCTGGAGAATTTCTGCAAGAACTACCCGGAATTCAGGGCAGTAACCTCAGATGTCGCACTCGCGCTGGGCTCCGATTGTCCGCTTATTACTCACTGCATCCCACTACATTTTTGCGTGTTCGTGTTCTCCGTGTGATTGCCGTACTATAGTCAGTTCGACCAGGTAATGGTGGCCGAAGCTGGCCTATTGCCTCCCAGAGGCACGTGCGGCTTTGGGCTGTTTCCTTGCCATCCTGACACCCACCCCAGAACGAGTTGTGAGTGTCGAAAGCTCTGAAACCCAGAACCCCAGCCCACCTTCACAGTTGCAGCTTTCTTGGTAGAAGGTGTCGTGATTCCTTCAAGAAGGAGTTGTTTTGGTGTATTGATCAGAGTCGAACGGCAGAGATCCGATTCTACTTTGCAACTTCGGGACTCACGACTGCTTGCATCAAAGGCCCAGCAAAGAGAAGTGCGTCGAGCTCAGTACAGGTACTTTCGACATGCAGGCAATTTGGCAGAGCCGGCCGGTGCTTGTTACGTTCTGCTGCACGAGCACGAGGCATTCAATGCGTCACAGGCGCTGGGCGCTTCTGGAAGTTGCGGAGTGCAGCTGCTGATTTGGGTGAAGGGGCTGGAAGCGGAAGTTGAAGCTGGAACACGCAAATCCAGACCAGAATGACGCCGTTTTCGGAGAATAGAGACGTTCGAATCATCTAGAGGTTCAGCATGGCAAAGGCGAAAAATACGGATGCTCGCGGGTCATGAGTCAGACTTGTATGAAGGCAACAGCATGTGTCTAGCCGGACAACTGCATGAGCACTAAGCTCAGGTAGAGCAAGCATGAGATAAGGAAAAGTGGAACAGCAAAATGCGTGAGGGAGCGCACTACAGCGGAGAACGGCCACGGATCGGATGGCGGACACGTGAAGACATCCAGAACTAGTCGAGGAAAGTGTCGCGACAAGCTGACGTTCGCACTGCTTGACAGGGCCAGCAGTGGCAATCAAGCCCGAAGCAGAATTCTTGGTCCGTCCCTGCCTTAAAGTCTTACTCTTGGAGAGGCACATACCACGCGGCATGCAAGGCAGGTCCAGTGCAGGTAGGGAGGCTTCGTCTTTCCTGAGGCTTCTCCTGCTCCGGCTAGTGGAGGCACTGCCGGTTTCTCACAGTCAATGCCAAGGAACGTGGGTTCTTGCAGGATTCCCCAAATTCGTTTGGGCTTCGCTGGACAACACAGCAGGTCTCGTGCAGGTCTGTCCAACATAAACGTGATTGGTTGCTTGCACATGGAAGCGGGTGGCCGTTCCTCAGTGCAGGAAGGACTGCCTGCAGAAGGCCTTTGTGTTTACCACGACAAGCAGTTCGCGGCAACCCTGGCTTGCATTGCACGCTTTACGACAAGCTTTGCTGACTTTGTGTTTATTCCCTAGATAGCTTTGGCCATCGGGAGTTCTAGGGCCACTTGTCCACAGGTGGTCTGGCTGAGGGGGTTCGCCCCAAGCTGTGGGCATGCAGGTAGTCTGTGGGTGGGGAGGCGCGCATGGCCTGCTGCTGGGTCCGCCCTGCGTGTAGGATATGCAGGTGGTCTTGGGTGCATTTGCAGGCAGGCCGTCTGCGGCGGGTTCTTGTGCTCAGCGGCTGGCTTGGGAGGGGCTGAGGGGGTGGCGGGCTGCGTTGACATGCGAGCTTTGCGTGCGTTCCCACTTTTTAGCCCGCTGTCCCTTCCACAGATATTGAGGGACGCACGAGCAAGTGTTCGCCACGTAGGAATGGTGGTTGCCTACATGTACCTGCTACATTGTGCTACCTGGTCCACGGCTGGGCTTTCTGCCGGTATAATGTGACATAGTGCCTTACCCAAGCTCTATGTTGGTGTTGGGCCGAGTTGAGGAGCATGACTCCATGACACAGACCACTTTAGCTGAGCAGTGTTGCACTGCTTTTATCCGGCACAGGACCTCTTCAAAAATGGCCAGTACGTCTTGCAAGAGGCATGCGCACTTCGGAGTTAAAGCTTCGCTGTCCTCGCACAGTATGCTTACTGTTCATCGGGAGACCTGATATTCGGTTTTGTTTTCATGGCCCAAGCCGGAGATTTGCCTCAGGACATGTTAGGAAGAGGGCAGAGAGGACCGTCGCAGATCCCGGAGGATGATGACATCCTGTGGCGGTCCAGCACCTGGTCAGGCGAGACACAGATCAAGCCTCAACTCCCGGAGGAGATTCCGGGTCCATTGTACACTGACGCGAAGTGCTACGGCGGGCGATTCACCTATGCACAATGGCGGAAATTCTTTGCGCAGGAGCGTCAGAAAGGTATGCAACAGGATGCGAGCGGGCAGACCATTGAAGCTGGTTCCAAAGATTTTTCTTGGAACACTTTCATTCAGTTCTTCCGACCGGAGATTTGGCTCCTTGTGCTGTTGCACGCGGATGCTGCAGCACTGCGAGCCATGGCCAGCTGCTGTCGTGGTTTCCAGCAGATCACCGTTCCATGGAGGCGTCGGGGCACCTCATCTTCTACAGCAGAGTTGGAGAAGCCCGAGATGCCGGTGGTGCAGCTAGCCGCAAGGCTGCGCTGCGGCTTGCCACTGGCAGAGGAGCTCTTGCATCTTCCACACCAGATTCAGCTCCCCGGCACATGCCGCTCTTGGCTGGACTTGCTCTACCAGCAGGAGAACAAAGGCACGGACAGGAGGTTTCAATTCCATCCCCTCGTGCTGCATTTGCTTGTTCTTGCCGCTGCAGGTGCATGGCTCTGTCTTGTGCATGCCGGCGGCTTGGGAGGCGTTGTCGAGGATGTGCAGGTGGTCGAGGATTTTTGCCAGGCCGTCGCTGTAGCAGAGCGGTGGAGCGAAAAGGCTGGTCACCGATTTGCTGGTTTCAGCGATCGGAGCACACCATTCGCACACCGTGATTTTTGCGTTGAACAACTGTGACATCTCTGAGAAAGTCCCTGGCACAGGTGCCACGGCCACAGCACATCTTGATTGCGCTGCTTCCATCCGCGCAGCAGCATTCGACGGCCGAGCAGAGTGTGTGTATTAGGAAGGCCCGCGAAGAGAAAACGCCTTGCATTTGCAAATCTTCGGTGGGCTGCTTTGCTCGTCTCAGGCTGTGAAGATCATCGGACTGCCGCTGCCCGTCTTGACTGGTGCAGGGGAAATTGAGCTTCGTATCTCTTGCCGAGAGTTCATCATTGCTTTGTGCCTTGGAAGTTTGCTTCTGTTTTATGAAGTGTCAAAGAGTCTCGTCAAAGCCATGCTGAGTCTGCTCCTGGCAGGTTCGCGTTGGCAGGCTCCAGAACCTCCCGGGAAGTGGAGGGCATATCTGCCAATGCTTAGCCTACGACACCTAGAAGTCGCGCTCGACGTCGATGGTTGCGTTGAGATTCAAAACTGCATCTTGAGTGGCTCGGGGGCCACTGCTGCCAGACCCTCCGGCGTCTGTGATTCCGTCCTGCATGTTCAGAAAGGCATCTGCCTTGTGGCTGATTGTGAGGTACGAATGAAACAGGGTCATGCAGGATTTGGAGTTGTTGTCGGGCCTGATCCCGCGTCCTTCACCGCTGGTGTCGTGAAGCCTCACTGCATGCTGAAACGTGTAGAAGTCACTCATGAGACTTTGACCGCAGTGTCAGCAATTGTGAGCAACCAGGTAAGTCATAGGGCCTGTATGCTTTTCAGATTCCCGTTGTTGGAAGGGGTCCTGATGAAGCTCTAAGGCGACTACCGCATGCATCTGTTACATGGGCGGCCAGCTGACTATGGAGGATGACTGCACACTTCAGGACTGCGAAGTCGGGATCAGCGCTTGCGACCAGGCCGACTTGAACATGCCATGCGAGTAGGCATAGGTCACCTTGCCTCATCGAATCTTGGGAATCGGAAGGCTTTCCATGTAGCCCAGCAGACATGTCACACCGATGTCGTTGCAGCTATTGAAAACAAGGCTAGGTTGGTGAGGCATGCTGCGCCACCTCGCAGGGGTCTGTGCAAAGTTCATTTGTCTTTCACACGAACAGAGATGTTCCCATGCACGAGGGCTCCATCGCCTTCATTGCGGGGAAATTGCGCATGGCATGCCGAGACGGCGGACGCAAGTTTGAGCAGGCAGTGGGTGGAAGATGCTGTTTGAGGGGGTTCCCAACCTAGCCACTTTTTTGCTCGTATCATGTATCAATCTTTCCCACTGCTTTGTTGGAGCTCCGCCTACTGACGGAAGAGTCGGCCCAGAAACCAAAACACCCAAACCCGTAAGCCCCTGCGCAAGTCGAAACCCCTGAACATCCAGAAACAGTGCTGTAGCCACTCAACCCAGAAACCCCAAGCCCAGCAGAACCCCTGAAACCAGAAGCCTTCCACCCCTAAGCCCAGAAACATCCAAAAAACCCGCAATTCAGAAACCTAACCCTTGAACGTTCAGGGTTTCTGGGTTTCGGGTTTTAGGAGTTTTGGGTTCAAGGGTTCCGAGTTCTGGGTTTAGAGTTTCTGAGTTCAGGGTTTCTTGGTTAGTGTTTCTGGGTCTCAACGGACCCCCAAATGCACTCAAATGGATTCTAAACCACTTCAAATGCTTCAAACACATCCCAAAAAGGACGCAAACGCATCCAAAACGCACCCAGAACGCAGTTTCCTTTGAACACCAGCTGTTTCCGAATTTTTTTGTACGTAAGCAGTTTCCTGCAGCGGGACATGTCCACTCACGTCGCCGTAATGCGGGGCGCTTGTCGAAAAAAAGGGAACGTCGCGAGCAGCCATTTGGAAGCCGGCGCATGCCGCCATGAGCAATTTTTTCAAACGCTGTTCGGTGTCTGCCCGGATGTAGGTCCCCCCTACCTCAAGGCATTCCGTTTTGGTGTAAAGCCAGCGGCGCGGGCGGGTATTGGGAGATAGAAGGCATGACGTATGTATGTATTGCCTGCAGCTTGCCCACACCCAACCTTTGTATGTACAGCCAGTCGATAGAGGGTCATCCCATCCTTACTGATGCCAAGTTTATTTAAGAGCACTTGGAAAGGGGGCGGACCCCCCCAACAAGGAACCCCATGTCGTGTCATTAGTTAAAAGTATTCCATGTGGCCCACCTCCCCGACTTTTGAATGGCATTGACAGGTATCTGGTGGTATCGTCACAACGGCAACAAACTTTCAGCGCACCTAGGGGCATAGAAACGGCCCTATCGGATTCATCAGCCGTCTGGTGCTGCAGCAGCCAGGCCAGCATGCATCGTGGGACTCTGCAATCAAGCAGCCAGCAAGACACGGCTGGTTTCAGATGCACGTGTGATGCAAAAGCACACACAGGTAGCGAGCACCTGTACAGAACACATCGACAGCTGCTGTAAGCAATTATTTTGCCGTCTCTCTTTGCCCTTTCTCATGTACATATTCTGCAGCCAATGACAGCACTAGTCTTTACACGTATGACCTGTTGCATTGGCGTGTGAGGTGCAGCGGGTGCTTGTACCGGATGTCTTAACTTTGCAGGACATGCATGGCTGATAAAATCTCTGATGCAGCCTGCTGCCCGTCTCTGCGCCACTGTCTCGCCGTCCCTAGATACGTATCTGGTCTGTTAGCCTGCCGTGGAAGGGTCGGGCTTGGACGTCCTAGGCGGTGACCTACTGCCGTCGCAATTATGCAAAGGTTGCTTTGGAGTTGGCTGTTCATGTACATCACCTCAGCTCCCTGACCTACGCAGTTTTATGCACAGTGCACCCGGGCTTCGTGCTGAAGCACCAGGGCCCAAAGACTCCTCGATGATGTTACTCGCGCTTGGAAACAGTCAAAATGTGACAGCGCATGCGCATGCATGTGTCGAGTTTAGGCGGTTTAGGATGTCAGAGCTGGTCTTTCAGCTGCCTGACGATTTAATGCCACTTTCTCCACAGAAGGTGCTGGGGGACGTCGGTAGTGAGGTCGTCTTCACCCACGACCCCGACTGGGACAGCGGATTCAACGTGGCACATTATTATAAGCCGCTTCTTGTGACGAGAGCGGAGTATGTGCTGCTTTGCCTGTAGGAGATCATGCCGGAGATGGCAGAGGCCATCAAGCAGGCTGGAGGTGAGGAGAACTGCTATGCAGCCTGATTCCCAGACTGTCAAACTCTGACTTAACTCCCACGGGCATGTCCTGTCTTCCAAGGTTGCCAGTGTGCCCTCGGCAGCCAGAGCCTGATCGAAAAAGGGCAGGTTCCTGGATTCGAAATGATTTGACGCTCAGGGCATCTGGGCAGTTGGCCTTGCTGGTGGCTGGAAGGTGCGAGAGCCGCTGCCTGAAGGCTTTTGTCCTTTTCGCGTTTGCCAGCGCTTCGCTGCTCGCTGTAACTGCCTGCCAAGGCTGGCTTGCAAACTCGCGTTGAGCTGCGGTCCGAGTGTGAGATGTTGATGCGATGTGGTCTGGTCCTGCTACACCCTTCAAAACTGCAGGCCGTTATTTCATGACTGCTAAGCCACCCTGCGACGACGGCATGCTGCAGTAAGCTGCAGTCCAAGTGTTTTTTCCTGTTTCGACACAAGGTGTTGCACTAGTTGCCAGCTCTGGGGACTTTGATCGATTTGGAGCGTGCGAAACCTACGAAGGGGGGAGCACGGCTGCAATGCTTGACTCGTGGAAGTGCTAGGACACGACTCGCCATTTTCCGGTAAGAGTATGTCATAGTTTGTGGGAGGTATCCCGACTTCGTAGAATTTGCGCAGACGGCAGGGACTCCTGGTGCCGCAGTCTTAGTGCCCGCGTGCCTTTGCGCAGCTTTGCAGCATATGGGCATCTCGATGACAGAGGCAATGGTGGAGGAACCGGTGCGGAGCCAAGCTAAGGAGTGGGAATCAGTGGGAATGTAGGGCTGGGGTTTTGATCCGGAAGTTTTCACAAAAAGCTGTGGCTCGGCATCCGTAAGACTGCTGGGACCACCAGGGTTGGATCAGTGGCAACGACAGGATGAGAACTGACGAGAAACGTGTGTGAAGCTTGCATGGCCGAGCTCAAAATTTCTGCAGAGGCGCATCGAAGGGTGCAGTTAAATCTTGCCGTTCTGGCACCGAGGCTCTCAAAAAGCCGAAGGCCAGACGTCTGTGAGTGCAATCCACCCTACGCGGAACCGCTCTTCATACGTTATGCAACATGAACTTGCGGCCAGGATGTTTGGTGCTGAATTGCTAGTTTTGTTGAACCGGCCCGTGCGTATAGGCAGGCCATTATCACGAATATGACGACTGGACCAGCACCACTGTTGCAGCATGTGTCCAAAAACCAATCGTCTCCGTGTGGTGTAGCCTCGGCGTTCTGTTTCCTGAGCCCTCTCAACCCACGGTAGTTGCGGGTGGCAGTTGTGGTGCTTCGCGCTCGACCACGCATGCAGTGAACTTTGCTGTTGATCGCAGTCATCCGTAATGCACATCTTGAGCCTGCCTTTGTCTGCTAGGTAGAGACTCCAGCACCACGAAAGGTTCTGCCTCAACCTGGCAAGAAAGGACCGACGAGTTGACCGACAGATGTTTAAGAAAGAACTCGGGAATCCGGAGTATCAACCTGTAGATAGCTTGATAATGGTGAGACAGCACAGGAGGTGGACACAAAGGCGGCAAGGAGCGCTGTTGTGGCTCACGCCTGTTTCGGAAAGGCAAGCCTTCCAGAGCCTTGTGACAGGCGCAGGGGAAAAAGGGTGGCCCGATTGTGGCAAACAGGTGGGACTCTCTCATCGCCCGAGCTGTCTGTTACCGGCTTTTGGTTGCGGATCGCAAAAGCAGCAAGATGTCATCGGTGGCTACGTGGAGTAGCTGCATTCAGCGCTTGGCCTGCTCGTCGAGTGCCGTCGCCTGACCATTTCCGTGTTCAGGTCTTCGAAGGCGCTGCCGCGGGTCCCGATCTTGGAAGTTTTTTGCTGAATCGCCACTTTGCCACAGGGCACTTTGTCTCGAAATCCGTCTGCGGGAGGACACACCCGTCTGGGTACAGCTGCCTCAGGACACCGCAGCGGCCGCACAGACAAGACATCGCAGTGTTTGTGTGTGTATATATATACACATTATATGTATGTATGTATGTATGTATGTATATATATATAATGTAAATATCAATATAAACATGAATATACATACATACATACGCACATACATACCTACGTGTATATGTATGTGTATATGTATATGTATATATGTATATATGTATATATGTATATATGTATATATGTATATATATATATATAGAGAGAGAGAGAGACTTGCAGCTTGTTTTTCACGCCTCCTCAAAGCCCCATAACACATGGGGGGCCCTAGTGGCCGGGGGGCTTGAACCGCCCCTCATGCCCTGGCGAAGAAGACTGCAAGTAGTATACTAGCATGCCTCCAAGCAGTCGTAAGGGGGAGCCCTAGCCACCAACCTGTAATCATTCGGTCATGCACTACTTGTTTCCAGTGTTTGCTTTGACAAGGCGGGGAGCTCAGTGAGACTGCCAGTACCAGAGTGCATAATGTGTGTTTGGGGGTGTTTGTTGTGAGTCAGCTGTGCAGTAGTCCGTACTTTTCAGCAGAGCACTCGGTACGGAGGCTGTACAGCCGAGCCCAGTGGGGGAAACCCCCTTTGGGACCACAACCACCTGCCAGGACCAGCAGGTGCGCGTGCGCGCGCGCGGGGGAAGGGGGGGACCCGCCCCGACCCCCAAGCCTGGTAGAGAGAGAGAGAGAGACTGCAAGTTTTCTCCGGGAGCAAGCAGTTGCACTCTAGTACGCCGGTTTTTCTTTGTGTGTCGCCGCGGCCTCAGAGTGCTGTCGCTGTTGTGAGTGTAGTGTAGTGCATGTTCACTTGTGTTCTTGGAGTCTGTGACTGCACATTCAAGACGGCGGAGGGGGAAGCACACAGGGGATCCAGACATTTTCTTAACATATGGCCTTAGTGGTGCTGTCGTGAAGAGTTGGAGTTTGCTGTGTTGACGACCGCGAAAGGATCCCTGGCAGCAGCCTTTTGCACAGCCGAGCCTCCCGGGGAAGAAACACTTGGGGGGATTTCCAAAACCGCGCTTGGACCTGCGGGTGCGCGTCCGCGCGCGGGGGAGTTGGGCTCGCCCTGCTTCTCCTTTCCCGGTAGAGAGAGAGAGAGAGAG